TGTTTCTATAAATCTAGTATTATAATATATATATATATATATATATATATATAAATTAGCAGCTGTGACCAGGGAGTTTTACCAGCACTTAGGGCTAGAGAGAGCCTGTGCTTGAAGGAAGCAGCTTTCTTTTTTTACCTATTTTTTCAATCAATTTGCATTCCATGTTGTTTTGTATTAGTTTTAGGTGTACAGCATGGTGGTTAGTGTTCCCCTGATATATCCAGTGCCCACCTGGCACCATACATAGTTCTTAGAATATTACTGACTATATTGTCTACACTGTACTTTACGACCCTATGACTACTAGTATTTTGAAACTGCTAATCTGTACTTCTCAATCCCTTTACCTTTTCCAACCAGTCTCCCAACCCCCACCCCCTGGCAACCATCAGTCTGTTCTCTTGTATCTATGAGTCGTTTTCTGTTTCCTTTGTTCATTTAAATTATTCGTTAGACTTCACAAATAAGTGAAATTATATGATATGTGTCTTTCTCTGACTGACTTATTTCACTTACCATAATACCCTCTAGGTCCGTGATCGGCAAACTGCGGCTCGCGAGCCACATGTGGCTTTTTGGCCCCTTGAGTGTGGCTCTTCCTAAGCCTTAGGAGTACCCTAATTAAGTTAATAACAATGTACCTACCTATATAGTTTAAGTTTAAAAAATTTGGCTCTCAAAAGAAATTTCATCATTGTACTGTTGATATTTGGCTCTGGTGACTAATGAGTTTGCCGTCCTAGAGTCTAAGTCCATCCAGAAAGCAGCTTTCTTTTTTTTTTTTAAATATAGAACGCTTCACGAATTTGCGTGCCATCCTTGCTCAGGGGCCATGCTAATCTTCTCTGTATCGTTCCAATTTTAGTATATGTGCTGCCGAAGCGAGCACTGGAAAGCAGCTTTCTTGAAAGGACGTAGGTTGACCCAAGCCTCCCCCTACCCTCACACCAGAGTTCTCCTGCCATCTAGTGCCCAATGGCAGCAAATGCCTAAATTCCAATGTCAGGGCCCCTTTCCTTGTGTCCCCCAACTCATCAGTTTCCTTCTCTACTCCAGGATCCAAGTCAGCAGAATCACTTGGTGTCCCCAAAGCCGCAAGCTATTTCACATTCTGTTTTGTTCACAGCAGTTCCCTGTGCCTGGCATGGCATTCTCTTCACCTCTTGTGTGCCAGGCAAACAGCTCTAAGAAAACTTTCCTGAGGCACCTGAACCCCTCACCTCCTTCTTGCCAGCCTGGACCATCCCCTAGAGCACATGCCTTTGTCTGCCCCCTTCGCCTTCCCTGATGCTCCCCTGTGGACCCTTACCCCTACCCAGCACGGTGCCTGGCATCTAGCAAGGACCCAATATGTGTTGGATAAGTGAATGCATAGGAAGGGAAGCTGGAGGTGGAAGGTGGGGCATTCCAGATAGAACTGTTCCAGGAGCTCAGAAACGGCTTGCCGTTGCTGGCATATAAATGTTCCATCATCAATTGAATATCTATAGCCTCTGCATTGGCTTTGCAGCTAATATAGATTCTATATACATAAAAGGCTAATATGCTAAGTATCCCTCCTACCGTCCAACCAGTCGCTATGACGCACACTGACCACCAGGAGCTGCTGAGCTGCAGTGACTTGGCAGCAGCAGTTCTCGCATGACGCACCCCAAAACCAGAGAGGAGGGAGCCCGATTCCTTGCAGGGCCACGGGATTCCACCTTGGGCCGTGGATTATGTTGTTGCTGGGGCACTGTCCATGCCAAATCTGGTTTACTGCACACTTGCATTCCGCACCCTGTACAACAGCAACTTTGCAGAGTGCCCTCTCGTACTCTGGGACCCCTCGGGGGATGTCAGAGAGCCAGTTTCGGCCCGATCCCCACGGGCCAGGTGGAGGGACCCTGCTCACTCCACAGACACCCAGGAGGGACTGTGGGAGGTTGGCTCCAGGGTGTGTCGGCCCTTCTCGCCCAGTCCCACCCCACCGGCACCTTCTAATTAATTTCCTTTCAATGTGCACGAATCCATGCACCGAGTCACTAGTGTTGTTTTTTTTAATTTCTTTATTGGTTAAGGTATTACAAATGTGTCCTCATCCCCCCATTAACCCCCAACCTCCCCCCCACTCATGCTCTCATCCCCCACTAGTATTTTATAAATGCATAAACATATATCTACCAACAATCTAACAAATCCACTTCCAGATATTTACCCAACAGTAATGGAAATCTATGTCTACAAAAGACTTACTCAAGAATGTTCAGTCACCGCTTTATTCATAACAGCTAATAACTGGAAAAGACCCAAATGTCAACAGGGGAATGGAAAAATAAATTGTGCTATGTCTGTTTAATGGGCTACCGTTTGGCAAGGAACAGGAGTCAATGCTAGCGCTGGATCTCAAAACTTATGCTAGGTGAAGAAGTCAGACAGAAAAAAGAGTAATATGGGGTAGGCAAAAGTAGGATTACAGTTATGAGAGTTTATTCTTATATTATGTATTCATTATTGTGTTATTTTCCATACCAAACAACTATAATCCTACTCTTGCCCACCCTATATATATAAAATTTCAGAAAGGGAAAATGTAACCTTGTAGCGACGGAAAGCGGATCAATTGTTACCTGGGGTAAGGGAGTGAGGGAATAGGGGAGAAAGGGCAGAGACTGGGAAAGAGCAGGTTTGTTTAAAATTCATCAAGCTGTACACCTAAGATCTGAGCATATTTCTGTACGTTAATTGTACGTATTGAATATGTGTTAAGAGTTGGAAGAGAAGGAAGGAAGAGGAGAAGAGAAGGGAGTAAGGCAGTTGCGGTGCCCGGTGCAGGATCAAGCGAATAAGCCATCGGTCCCCGGAGGCGGCTGGGGGGCGGGGTGCCCACGCCGGGAGCCGATGGGGAAGGAGGGAGCGCGCGGGGGCGGGGGAGCGCGCGGGAAAGAAGGAGCGGGCGGGGCAGGAGGGAGCGCGCAGG